GCCAAGGTTGCCTACCCCTGAATTCTAAACAGTCAGAGGTTAGGAAATATGGCAAGACAGTTGAATTTATCAATTTGCCACAATGAACATACCCATATTTTTATTTGGTCTGTCTCTGGAATTTAACGGGACAGGGGCCAAATGTAGACAATTTGTGGGCTACCTTTTAGCTTTAGGTTGTTGGTTTCCACAGCTTTAATATTCTCTGCCTCCTCCCAACAGAGTCAGTTCCACAGAAATGTCCTGTTAGATCAGGTGTCATAAGAACCGTTATTAGTATATTTCTTCAGGAAATAATAAAGTTGGAAGGGACCTTGGAGGTCATCTAGTCCAACCCCCTGCTCAGGCAGGAAACCCTATACCATTTCAGACAAGTGGCTGTCCAGTCTCTTCTTAAAAACTTCCAGTGTTGGGGCATTCACCGCTTCTGGAGGCAGAATTTTATGGGCATTTTATTTGTTTATTAGATTTTCATCCTGCTATTTTATTACGCTATAAGTAACTCAAGGAAGCAAGAAAATCTAAACGAACTTCTGAATAATTTGTTACGTGTTTGGAGGGAACCAGAGATGGACAACCTCAAGCATAAACTTTATTATGTGGGTCGTAAAAATTTCTCCCAACCCTGCTGAGCAAATAACATGGTAAGTGTGTTGTGTGGAGGTGGTGCCAACTTTTCCAGGAAGAAAGATAAAAGCAAACTGAGTTGCAAGAGTGAATGAATGAAGGAGGGGAGCCCTCCAGGTCAACTCCAGAGTAATGGATATTGGAGGATGGAGGCCATGACAGCATCCAGGTTTTCCTAGGGCTGATGTGATTCTCTTAAAACCCCGGACAGCTTCACCTGCCGATTCCATATAAGGCAGTTTTCAATATGACATTTCCTTCTTATGAGACTTCTGAACATTGTTAATGATGGTTAATGTGGGCAAAGAGGGTTACCCATTCAATCATCTGGCAAACCGGATTTCTAGAGCAAAGTTCAGTGTGTAGTTGTTTCCTGAGTGGGGTGAAGGGGCCAGCTTGATGGGAAAATTGTTCTGGAGGGGCTGAAGCAGCAGGTAGCCCCCCCTTGGCACCAGCCCCCCAACCTCTCAGAAGAGGGGCATCAGTGATCAGTTGCTTTCTAGATGATTTGGGTGGCTGGGAGAAGTCTGGTGGGAGAATGAGACCCTGCAGATATTTCAGGACAATAATCCAGTCTGGAATGAACACTTTCAAAGACCCCCCACCCATTCCCTAAATGATCAGATCCTCAGCTTGACTCTGCTTCTTCCTTCGTGCGCCTCTTCACGGACACCAACCTTTACTGAGAGGGGGTGCATATGTGGATGTGTGTTTATGTGTTTGTTTGTGTGTGTGTGTGTGTGCATGCGTGCAGTTTTGCCTCCAGCCCCTTTCTCTTCCAGGAGTGCAGGTGTAGTGCTGGCTACAAGGATAAGCTGATCGCCCTCGTAGGAAGACATGGTTCTTCTCCAACCTCTTATAACAGAAGCTCTTTCTAACTTTCTTTGACATGCAAATGTTAAATAAAGAGAAAAGAATGTCTCTCTGTGTTTGTGGGTGTTCTCTATTTGATGCTGTAAGTTGTCTCTCCACCATCCCTGGTCCTTCCTCCTCTCTCGTCTGCCTCTTCCTTCTCCTCAGCTGTGCCCTCTTTTCTCAAGATGTTCCTAAGAGCCTCTTTGGAAAACCTCTTTCCCTCCCTCTCTTTCCTTTCTTTTCTCCTTTCTTTCCTTTTTCCTCCCTCTCTTTCCTTCCTTTCTTCCTTTTCCTTTCTTTCCTCGCCCTTCCCTTCTTTTCCTGCTTACCAGTTCCCTTCCCTTCCCACATTCCTGCTCTTCCATCCAGAAGCGTAAACAATCTGGCTGGCCTCCCTCTCACCAGCTGGACCTCAGGTGCCCTTGGCACAACCCAACCTCGGACCCATTCTCACGTTCGTTATGGAACTTTGCTAAATCAAAGCTTTATCATTATTCTTCTCTCACTTTTTTTTTTTTGGCAGAAAAATTCCATTGAAAGACCAACTGACCAAGCGCACGGTCATGTGGCTGCTATGGATCCTCCCCTTGGCTGCCTCTTTTCTCCTGCCTGCCACTGGGGAGGTGGTGAACAGTTTGAGCGAGTGCAGTCAGTTCTTCTTGGATGGTGTTCCCCCCAATCTGCAGCGAACCAATATGGCCGTAATCTGCCAGAAGTATAAAGCCGAGTATTATTTTGTCACAATGTACGACACACGTCTACGCATCCCCATTTTCTCAGCTTATAATCTAGATCCTTATAGTACGGGTGAAAGAAAAGACAACTGGAAGATTGAACCACAGGTAAAAGGAGTTCCTATTTTGAAGCTAAACATTCTTGAAATGGAGTCCGTGGTTAGGAAATAAAGCAAGGCAGTGGATTTAAGAATTATTTATACATAATTAATCTTCAGGAGCTTTTAGGAGCTTGAATTCTGTTGTCCTCGTTGGCGAGGTCCTACTTCCATCTTTCCCCAAAGAACCAGACTCAGAGCACCCCAAACCCCAAATTTCAAGCTCAATCAACCTGTTTTCTCTGCTAGAGCAGGGCTTTTCAACCTTTTCACCCATTGCACCACTTTTAGGATATGGCAATATCCGAGTACCACCAGTCGCCTAGCAAGGTGTCAAAAACTTGATGACCAAAAAAAAAATAAATGGAAAGAAGTGATGAAGTACAGGTAGTCCTCGACTTACAACAGTTCGCTTAGTGACTGTTCGAAGTTACAATGGCACTGAAAAAAGTGCCCCCCAAGCCACAGCCGAGCAAGACACCTGCCTGCCCACCTGGTGGCGCTCTTCCTCCTGTCCGAGGTTTTCATTGTGAGCATTTCTGTTGAGGATTGGCAGCGGGGGTGGGGTCGGGGGGTGTTTGGTTTTTATTCCCCCCTCCTGCTGGGTGGTTGCAGCAGGTTTTGGTCACTTCACATGACCCTGGGACACTGTGACCGTCATAAATGTGAATCAGTTGCCAAGCATCTGAATGTAAATCACAAGACCCTGGAGAGGCTGCAACATTCCAGCTGATCGGCGCTTCTTCTGGGCTCAGCAGAAGCGCCAGGATCAGCGCCGAGCTCCAGCTGGAACCTGGCGCTGATCCTGGCGCTTCCGCTGAGCCCTGACAGCCCTGCAGCTCCAGTTATCTCTCGCTCAGGCTTGTGCGGTGCTGCCACCAGTTCAGCTCATTCCCCCCCTATCACCTACCATGTGCCAATGTACCACAGGTGATACCCTTACCACTGGTTGAAAAGCCCCGTGCTAGAGGACAGCTTAGAGTGGGCTCCCCAAGAGGGCCAGTCAGGGGCTTCAATGTCCAGAATTCCCAGAAACTTCCCTGTTGGCTGGGATGCCAAATATGCATAGCCTTATTGTAGGAAGATCCCACACCCCATTCCCTGGTTGATTCATGATAGATCTTTCCTCACCTTCTGGGTATTTGATTGAGTGTTGTGTGAATGCTAATCAGGCACATTGCTTGTCCTTCCTTATTCCTAGCTTGCAGCCCCTGAACCAGAAATGGTATCGGAACATAGTCGAATCTACGATCTCCTTGCAGACAGCCAGGCTTTTTCGAGTGATTACGTAAATGCTCCCACGTTCGACAGAGGACACTTGGCACCAGTGTGCCATCAATCGGATCAGGAGAGCATGAATGCAACCTTCACTTTGACCAACACTGTGCCCATGGATGCAAAACTCAATCGTGGACAATGGAAAGCGTATGAACAAAATATAAAACAAACTACTAGCTCGTGCCTTAGTACATATGCCATTGTGGGTGTGGTACCTGGGAATACACTCCTCAACAACAGAGTGAATATACCCAGTCATATCTGGGCTGCAATTTGTTGTGAGTTTCGAAACCGATCCAAAACATCCTGGGCATTCATTGCTGAGAATAATAATCAGAATAAGGTAATCAGTTTTACTCTGACGGAGCTGGAAAGATTTCTAAGTTTCAAATACGGGCACAGCATTAATCTTTTCAATGGTGCTTGCAAATGATATGATTAATAACGAATAAGGTAATTCTCTGTCTGCAAAATAGAGTTCAAAAATAAAAGCAAAGTATAAACGTAGCCGCCTAGTTGTTCGACATACGGAACAAATGCAATTATTATAACCCTGATTTGATGTGTATCAATTTTTCTTTTTGGCTCAATGTTATGAAAATCCAGGCTGTTTGGTTAGCTTATGGTTCAGGTTACTGAGCAAACCCAGAAAATAAAATAATCCAGTAATGAGACGAAGGGTGCAACGATGACACGGCTAAAACAGTTTCTTGTTTGTCACAGTTTTGGATGGGCTTTGTGGTTTCAACCCGTGTATAACTCGTCAGAAAAGAAACTGCAGTGATGAGGAACAATTTTCCGTCCATTGCACCATGTGGGTGGGAAGAAGACCCTTAGGAATCAAATTTCATTCCCTGCTAAATAGGGCTTATGTTTGACATGGGTAGTCCTCAACTTGCAACCATTTCACAACTGTTTGAAGTTATGACAATGCTGAAAAAAATGACTTACAATCTATGTATGACTGTTGCAGTGTCCTGTGGTCACATGATCAAAATGTGGCTGATTGGCATGTATTTACAAAATGTTGCAGTGTCCTGAAGGTTGTAAAATTGGGTGTGACCCACTTAACAATAACATCGCTTAGTGACAGACTTCCAGTTCCAATTGTGGTCGTAAATTGATGCCTTCCTGTACGTAGCTGCTTGAATGCTTTCTCTGTAGCTTTTTTACTTCTTGCAATAAACCTGCTTATCAATATCTGTGTCCTTTTGTTACTTTCAGTATAATCAATCTAGAAAAAATGACTAAAATATTGCTAAATTATTTCAGTGTTTTCCTTGTTTTTTCCTTGATTAATTGTTTGATTGATTGATTGATTAAATGTCATTAAGTTGGTGTCAAATCTTAGCAAACAAAGAGATGGATGATGGAGCGGTCATCTAGGTCTAATAATCCTGAATTCTTCAGTTCTTCACTTAGAAGCCTCTGGATCCAACATGGATTAATTCTAAATAAGTGTGAATAGAAATGGGGTCTTAATACACATGCAATTCTAAACTCAATTCCACTTTCCATACCTGTCACTAAATCGCAGAATCTAAACTGGAAGTGTAAAAGAAGGCGACCAACTTGGCTGGTTAAAAAAGAGCCTCCAGGTTGGAACTTTATTTCACTCTTCCTGGAGGAAACATTTAGCAAAAAAGGCTGTAAAATTATTTTTTTACAATCCCTGCTTTGATTGTGGAAAACCCCCTGCCCAACTCTAGACTCTAGATTCTAGAAAGAGTACAGAGAAGAGCAACAAAGATGATTAGGGGACTGGAGGGTAAAACATACAAGGAACGGTTGCTGGAATTGGGGATGTCTAGTTTAATGAAGAGAAGGACGAGGGGGGGACAGGATAGCAGTCTTCCAGTATCTCAGGGGCTGCCCCAAAGAAGAGGGAGTCAAGCTGTTCTCCAAAGCGCCTGAAGGCAGGACAAGAAGCAACAGGTGGAAACTGATCAAGGAGAGAAGCAACCTAGAACTAAGGAGAAACTTCCTGACAGTGAGAACAATTAACCAGTGGAACAACCTGCCTCCAGAAGCAGTGAATGCTCCAACACTGAAAGTTTTTTAGAAGAGACTGGACAGCCATTTGTCCGAAATGGTGTACGGTTTCCTGCCTGAGCAGGGGGCTGGACTCCATGACCTCCAAGGTCCCTTCCAACTTTATTATTATTATTACTATTATTATTACTATTATTATTATCCTGGATTCTATGGGTTGGCTGAAAATTATGTTGGCCTGAAACCCTAGTAGCAACATTAATAACCCCAATTTTAGTTGAGCTTAATCTAGTTCCGATTACAGACTCTTCCAAGGGGTTGTTTTCCTCACTAACATGTAGAGATGTTAAAATTGCACATTGGGTACCAAGCTTCCTGAATTGACCCTGAAGTGCTAGTACTGCTTTACACAACTTTGATAAGATTACACTTGGATTAGTGCATCCAGTCCTGGACACAATGATACACCCCTCTCCCCCCCCAAAAAAATGTGAGTCCCTAGAAAGTGCAGAGAAAAGCAACAAAAATGACAAGAGATCTGGAGGCTAAAACATATGATGAAAGATTGAGAGAATTAGGCATGTGTAAGATAACAAAGCGAAGGACTAGGGGTGATGGGATAGCCGTCTTCCAGTAGTTGAGGGGCTGTCACAAGAGAAGAGGGGGGTCAACCTATTCTCCAAAGCACCAGAGGACTGGACAAGAAGCAATGGATGGAAACTAATCAAGGAGAGAAACAACCTAGAACTAAGGAGAAACTTCCTGACAATGAGAATAATTAACCAGTGGAACAGCTGGCCACCAGAAGTTGTGGGTGCTTCATCACTGGAGGTTTCTAAGAAGAGATTGGACAACCATTTGTCTGAAATGGGTATAGGGTTGGACTAGAAGACCTCCAAAGTCCCTTCCATCTTGTTATTCTCTTATTTTGGACTAGGAGGACTCCCGATTTCTTGCCCCCGACATTTACAAACTATCGCTTTCAAATTCAGGCCCATCGGTTGACATAGCTGTCTTCCCACTTCATCTTGAAAACTGTAAAAATAAGCTCCTAGGAGCCTTAGAGCAAGCCAATCAAAGTAGAGACTGATTAGAGCATTTGTTTTCCACAGTCCTCGCCTCTGGGTTGGTCTACTTATAATAATAATAAAGTTGGAAGGGACCTTGGAGGTCATCTAGTCCAACCCCCTGCTCAGGCAGGAAACCCTATACCATCTCAGCCCCTGAGATATTGGAAGACTGCTATCCTGTCCCCCCTCGTCCTTCTCTTCATTAAACTAGACATACCCAATTCCAGCAGCCTTTCCTCATATGCTTTAGCCTCCAGTCCCCTAATCATCCTTGTTGCTCTTCTCTGTACTCTTTCTAAAGTCTCAACCTCTTTTTTACATCGTGGTGACCAAAACTGGATGCAGTATTCCAAGTGTGGCCTTACCA